AACACTCTCTTCCATATAGTCCGAGCACTTTCAAACTGGTATGTGTGTGCTGATGCAAGGGCTGTCCCGCAGGGAACCAGGACACTGGGATGGGACGAGGTAGAACCCCGATGGGGCATGATGACACGGGACGGGTGAGGAAGCATTCGACCCCTTCGGATCTGCCCGGTAAGAAGCGTTCATTTTGTATTTGTCTTTTGAAGGAAACAACATTCTTTCCTTATCTTTGCCTGTATCTGGTGTAATCAGATCACTCCCACCGCTGAAGCTCATTTCCTGCTGTTGGGTACATTGAAGCTATTATTATTGAGTATTTATTTTTCCACGGGTCTCTCTGTTTCTAATTACTTCGTGCTGATGTTACGTGAATACGTGGAGTCTGGGCCTGCTTTAATACCCGCCACATGCTGGCTCTATCGTACACGTCAGTACCCCAACACAGTTTTCAGCTACTTCCTGCCGTGGTTTACCTCTTTATTTCTGATCTTACTACTTTCGGGTAGATGATAAAGCTGATTTCTGGTGGGGCTGTAGGCCAAGCAGACAGAAACCATACGGCGACACAAGGCCATTTAGAAGCGACTAGTGGTGGTGAAATACTGTGAGGAGTGTTGTTCTTTTTAATGGATGTCAGTGAGTTTTGCTGCAGCAGAGGGAACAGAGTCTGATGGTGCAGAAATAGATCATCTCCGTATGCTCACATGTAAAGTGCTGCTACTGCTGCTCTGGCAACAGCCACGCAGCTCTTGCGCTTATAAATCTGTTTCTCTTTTTATTGTATTTTCCAGATATTGAAATTTTCTGTGTGTGGGAGGGCTCTTGTAAACTGATTTTATTTAGGTAAGTGCAGTGAAAGCACTTTTTGAGAAATGAAGGGGAGAAATGTTTATCGACAAATGAAAAAGGGGATAATATACATACAGAATTTTGGCTATATTAAAGCCTTGTGAGAGTTAGGATGCCATTGCCCTCCAGCACCCCAAGCTTGCAAGTGCTGGCCCATGTTTTCCTAAATATACTGAGCACTCTAGACCTGAACTTGCTGTTATCAGAAACGTGGAATTTCATTTTTTTTCCAGTTTACCATGTTTTCAAGCATCAGCGAAAGGCGTTCCTAGACTCCCTCCTCACTGCAGCGAAGCTCAGTAATACAACTCGCACGAGCACTTTGGCAGTTTTCCTCCCAATCCAGCCATGTAATGAACCGCTTTGCTTGAAATCCCAGGCCTTGTTTTCCTCTCTTTTGACGGACAATCCTTATCTGCCAGGCTACACGCACGTGTAGCTGCCAGTCTGCTTTAAAGGGGATGATGAACGCGAGGCCGCGTGATCCTATTAGCTCTGATTGTGTTTGTGGTTGTTCCCTTTAATCAGAAGGGTTTTGTTGTGTCAGTCGAGTGTAAAGGATGTGCTGTCACAGAAAAGGCCAACTCTGACAAAACCGGTGGGGCTGCGCGTTGGAATACAACTGCCAGTCCTGCCCTTGGCTTAACAGTGCAAGGAAAACAGACCTGAGGCCTTCAGATGTTTGCAGCTTTACTGGGAAAACCAGCACGGATTACCAACACTGCAACTACTTTAGGAATGTGTTAGCAACCCTTTGGATTTCCAGAACCCAGCTGCCTTTCGCTGTTGCTTCAGAACCACCCGGTTTCTCTCAAATAGAGAACCCCAAGGCAGCCTCCAGAACCGCGCAGGGCCCCGGGGCGGGACGTCAGGCGGTTTGAGTAGTTCCACTGGAGCATGTGAAGCTCAACGTAGACGAGCTGGGAAATCCTCCTCAGCCTCACAGCCAGTTCCACACGCGGCTGCCTTCCTCTGGCTGGGCCTGTGGCTGTGGGACAAAGCACACCAGGGCAGACGTCACACATGAAGCTATTCCACTGCTGCTTCCCCTCACCTCCCGGGCCACGCTTCCGGAAAGCCAAAGTGAGAAATGAGAGCCCGGCGCTGCCGGCAACGTTCACCTCCCCTTCTGCACCCGTCGCTTTGTTGGTTTTACAAGGGGGCACTGCACAACCGTCAGCACGTCGCTTTGCGTTCAGTGACCTAACAGTCTGGCTCAGCGGTCCGCCAGCAAAACCGATGCTGAAATAATAGTAATTAAAGAATAATCAAAGAATAATCAGGAAATTTATCAGGCACGCTTCAGCCTAAACCGGTGTGTTCAAGCGTGAAGTTCAATATCTGAGTCTACCTGCGCCCATTCTATGGTATGAAACAAATGGCATCACTAATTCTGGAGATCACCATAGCTCTGGAACCTGGGAGTAAATATTCCAAGCGCTCACACGCTGAGTACGCTACCGGCGTGACAGCACACGGCACCGAAACGCATATGGATGCACTTGCTACCGCAACTGCAGGCTCACCAATACCCCTTCTTCGCAGCGAAAACTCATCCAACTTCTGCAAACTGATCCAACTCCTCCCGATATTACAGGAAGTAAAGAACTAGTTTACAGGATGCAGAGTGATTCGTGTTTTGATGAAGAACCTGCCACTTGTACCAAATTACTTCAATAACGCAGAACTGCACGAAAGAACTCTAACATACATCATCCTGAAAGTAGAAACACCGCACGGATTCAATGGGATTCAGTCACTGCCAACATGAAAGCAGGAGCTGGTACTTTTACTCCCAAGAACTCCAGCGTCACTCCTAAAAATCTAATTGAACACTGACGTGACCATCCTACATACGCACTGCGTGAAGGGTTCCGGTCTTTCTGCTTGGCCTTCCACCGATGCCACGCTGAACAGCTCATTTCTAACACTGGAAGGAAAACTGCAAATCAAACGATTCCCCTTGATGGGTTTTTAATTAGGGTTTAAGAAAAACGCTGGAAAACTATCCACGCTCTGTCAAACAGGGTACAAAATCTTTATTCACCAATAAGTTAAGTGTTGTTATAAATAGATGTTCTAGTCTTTTGTATGCTGCACTGAGCACCAAGCCAAGCTTCAATTATTCCTCAGACTCTGACCCTTCTTCATCCTGACTGATCTGGAAGTAGCGTAGTTCGTACGTCTCCTTGTCAGACGCAACGACACGAAGCCAGTCACGCAGATTGTTCTTCTTGAGGTACTTCTTCGTGAGGTATTTTAGGTACCTTAAGAGCAGTAATTATACGTTAGAACCCTCCCATTTCACAACCCAATCTGCTCTCTACGTTCCACCCAAGACCCCAGGGCAACACCACGCCAATTACATCCAGAAGATTACCATATATAACAGATAATAAAAGTGTATTTTTATCCCAGATACCCAAGAATTCATTATTTGATGCTTTTTCACTACACGGCGCAACACCAGTAACTCACATGCGTTGAGACATGGTTCTCCACTGCAGCCTAACGCAACAAATACTGATGCGTCTATATAACGGGGGCTGGGGAGGCAGGGAAGCAAGCATATGTCGAACCAGCGCGGCGCATCTGCTGCGTGCCCTAACGCACGAAGCAGTTTAAGGCTTCCTTTAAGAGGTCCTTTTGCAACAAGGCGTGCTGCGTGCACACACGTTTAAATACAAGCTCTTAAGCAATAAACCAGCCACCCACGACGTGAATTCAGTATGACCTTTAAAAGCATCTCATCCCTTGGTATACTTCTAACAACCGACGTGAAGCATCTCTGCGTTGACTACGTTTATACTAGAGGACGCACTGATTTGCAACCAAGTACTGTGCTTTAAAACATGGTTTTCACATACCTAATATTACAAACTTCTTTGAATTACACCTTTGACTAACACTTGTGAGTTAGGTTGGAGCTAACGCCTTCTCCGTATGTACCAGAGACACGTCACATTCAACAGATGGTTGTCCAAAATGCATTACCACAAGTAAAACAAACGGAAACCTGTGCCAACCTTTTAGAAAACTGCTTCTCCGACGTCACGGTGATCTTGTTCTTCAGACGTTCAATGTGAACAGTGTTGCCCAAGTTCCCAGTTTTTCCGTTGACCTTAACCTTCTCCTTCAGGAACTGTTCCTGTTTCGACATTAAACAAACAGAACACTAGGGAAGGGCACCCTAGGTGTGAACTAGGGAAGGGACCCTAGCCGAAGAGCAATATTAAAAATCACCGTTTACTCATGTCCTGATAGTACTTACAAATGCAGTAAGATTTTTACAGTGTGTAATTAAAAAAAACACACCCATGCTAAAACATGATTCATTTTCAGTTGAGTAGCAGTCCTATTCATGCGTTAAGTATGAACCATCTCGCCTATGAAAGAGATCTAAACCCAAGAAACTTTCAAAAAGTGCTGGTAACCTGAAGAACAGGTGCTGATTTTACAGTTTAAAATGCAACTTTTCAGCTGCAATTAGTTGTCAGACCGTACTAAGGCTGTCATTATACTAAGTACCAGAAGTCTTAGCAAAACCACAACTTACAAAGTTCCCAGAATCAAAAATTCCATCTTCCACAGGATGGGTCAAGTCAAGGCAAAACTTCCAGGTTGACTTTTTAGATTTTCTGTCCTTTTGCTAGAACACCAAAGAAAACCCCATTAACAACTCACACCCGAAAAAGCATTTACGCGCGAAGGGGGACACGGCAGAGGGGGGCGCGGCAGAGGGTGCCCCGC